CCTTTTGTATCCGCCTTCATTGTCGGCCAGAAATACCCTGCTCTTAAAATTTTTGCGACCATGGCTCCTGCCTTGCTGTGATCGCTGCAGCATCCCTCGTGCACCTCTGTAAGGACATATCGGCCTTCCTCTTTGGTCACACACCGTAAATGTGACCCTGCGTACGACCGCTTGTGGAGGATCCACCCTTGCTTGAAAAACCTTCTCATTACTTTTATCGTTCCTTCCCGCAGCTCTCTCAAGATCGAGGCCCTCCAGTCTTCTACATCCTCGATCTCTATCACTTCCGCTTCGACCACGCTCTTCTCCATATGGAGCAAGGTCACACTCCTGCTCTTACAATCTACCAAATTTTGAGCGATCTTATACAATAAATCAGCTCGACCATTCTCCCCTCTTGGTATATGTATTAATTCAAACGACCCGAACTCTTCTTTTAGTCTCTTCATATCGTCCACATAACGTTGCAGCCTGTCCTCCTTGACCTCAAAACCCTCTTAGAACTGTCCGACCACCAACTGGGAATCGGAGTGGACCTGAATTTTTCAAGCACCTCCGGCCAGAGCTAGTTGTAGCCCCTTTATCACCGCTTTGTACTCCGCCTCATTGTTTGATATTCGAAACCCCATCTTAACAGCAAATTCCAAGTAATCCCCTTGGGCGAAACTATTACTATGCCCAAGCCTGCTCTGCTTCTCGATACTGAGCCATCTGCGAACAATTGCCACACTCCCTCCATTTCCTCCTCTTCCTTCGTACCTTCTTGAATGAAATCGTCCAGAACTTGCGCTTTTACCGCCTTCCTTGGCTCATACAGGATAGAGTATTCTCTTAGCTCGACCGCCCACTTCACTAGTCGACCAGATACTGATGGTCGACCCAAAGTTTGCTCAAGAGGCATGTTCGTCCGCACCTTGACTCTATGATTAAGGAAATATGGTCTCAACTTTCGAACCGTCACGACCACCGCCAATGCGCATTTCTCAATCTCTGAATATCTCAACTCCGCTCTTTGCATTACTCGACTGACATAGTATATCAGAAACTGTGCTACCCCCTCCTCGCGCAACAACACCGAGCTTACCGCATTCTCGCCCACAGATATGTAAGGCGCGAGCTCTTCTCCATGTACAAGCTTAGCTAGCAAGGGCAAGTTTGCCAACACCTCCCGCAACTCCTCGAAAGCAATCTAGGCCTCCTCCGTCCACTGAAATTTCGAGCTTTTCTTCAATGTTTTGAACAGAGGACCACTCTTCTCGGCCACTTTAGAGATGAATCTGCTTAATCCCGCTATTTGACCAGTCAGCATTTGAACCTCCTTCATGAGTAATCATTTTTTAAATAAGTCATTTTTCTTTAGGGAGATCGAATATATGAATGGACGGAGAAATGTTTTTCAGGTTGGCAGGTGGCTTCATCTCGATCACCGCTCTTACCTTCTCAGGGTTCACCTCTATTCCCCGCTTCGTCACCTTATAGCCTAAGAATTTCCCTGCTTTCACACCAAATGAGCACTTGGCTGGATTAAGCTTCATGCCATACCTCCTCAGCATTTGGAAAGTCTCCCTCAAGTCGCCCACATGATCCGCCTCCACCTTGCTCTTTACCAGCATGTCATCGACATATACCTCCATATTCCTTCCCAATTTGTCTTTGAAAATCTGGTCGACCAGCCTTTGGTAAGTTGCCCCAGCGTTCTTCAAACCAAATGGTATAACCACGTAACAATAGGTGCCTTTGCTCAATATGAAGCTCACCCTCTTCCAATCTTCCTTCGCCAAGGGGATTTGATGGTAACCTTGCGAGGCATCCATTAGGCTAAGAAGTTCGCATCCCACCATGGAATCTACCAGCTGGTCGATCTGGGGTAGTGAGTACAGATCTTTCGGGCACGCCTTGTTCCGGTCGCGAAAATTGATGCACATCCTCCACTTTCCCCCTGATTTGGACACCATCACCATGTTCGACAACCATTCTAGGAACTGGATCCTTTTGATATGTCCGGCATTTAACAACTTTTCGACCTCCTGCTCGATTATTTTGTCCATTTCTATGCCATGATGTCTCCTTTTCTGCTTTACTGGCCTCACAGTAAGATCAATATTCAACCTATGCTCGATCACCCTATCCTCAATCCCTATTAATTCCTCTGCCATATATGCGAAGATGTCCGCGAACTCCCTTATTAAGTCGACTAACCTCGACCTGATCGGCTCTCTCAGATCTTTCCCAATTCTAAACTTTCTATCATCACTCCCCTGTACCATCTGAATCTCTTCGACCACACCACCAGGTTGTATGTCTATCTTCTCTTTTCCCTCTTCTTGCCATCCCTTCTCCTCCTTCGACCTCAACCCTCCTGGTCGATCAGGCTTCTCTTCCCCGCCTTTCAATTGCTTTTTTGCCAGCTGCTTTTTGTTGCTGACGGTAGTTTGGTAACAACTCCTCGACGTGAGCTGGTCCCCAGCAATCTCGCCCACATTTTCCCCCACAGGATATTTGATCGTCATGTAGTATGTAGACACGACCGCCTGGAACGCATTCAACCCTGTCCGCCCTAAGATGATATTATAGGACGACTCTGCACCAACCACTATGAACCGCACCATCCTTACCTTCCTTGTATCGCCTGACCCTAACGCCACAGTTAGACTCACCTCGCCCATTGGCATCACCTCACCTCAATTAAAACCGTACAGGGCTGTTGCTACCGGTTTTAGCTCCAGGTTCAAATGCTTGTTGATCTGCGCGAAGCAATCATAGAACATCACGTCGACCGAGCTTCCAGTGTCGATGAACACCCTCTTCACGTCAAACCCCGCTACTTCTACCGTGATGAACAGCGCGTCATTGTGGGGTAGCAAGACCTCCTCTGTGTCCTCTGCTCGAAAGCTGATCACCGGCATTCGACCAGTTATCCCGACCTCCTCCCTCTTGCGCTTTACAGGTCGCACATGTCCCTTTCGCGCATTGTTCGAATCTCCATCCTTGGGCCCTCCAGAAATCATATAAATTGTTCCCCTCTTCGTGGGCACCTCCACTCTCGGCTCATCTCGAGCATCATCATCCCGCCTCCTCTTCTCCCTCCTGGCATCGTCTTCCCTGTCATCATCTTGTCACTCCTCGTCATTGAGTCTTCCCTGCACCTCCTTTTCTCCTTACCCCATGGTTGATCACGGATGACAAACTCCTTTAGGTGTCCTGCTCTTATTAGACGCTCGATCTCGTCTTTTAGGTTCCTACAATCCTCTGTGGTATGTCCATAATCTCTATGGAACCTGCAGTATTTATTCGACCTGGGCTTGGTCGGCCCCTTGAATCTCGTCTTCGACCATGTGACCTCCTTGCTCTCCAATTTCTCTTCTATTGCCGCTAAGACTTCGCCCACCTGGCATTGATAGGAGTGAAATTATTGTATCTTTGACCATTGGGTAGCCGGGGTCGCCCTTGCCATCGGTCTTCTCTCCCTCCACGGAACGAATTTCGACCATCTCTCCTGGGCGACAACCTCTTAGGTGGGCCATTATTTGGAGAATTCCTCCTAGGTGATCCCCTCCTGGGCGAGCTCGGCCTCCCCTTCCTTTGCTCAGGTTTCGTTGCCTCCTCGAGTTTGGCAAACTCAGCCTCCGTCTCTTCCAAATTGATGTACTTCATGCATCTTTTCAACACCTCATCGTATGTTTGAGCAGGCGTCTTTGCCAACGACGTTCGACATGGCCCTGGTCGTAGACTTCTAATCAATCCTCCTGCCTTCACCTAATCGACCGCCGTAGGCACCTCTAAGCACATCTGATTGTACCGAGCAACATACTTTCGTAGAGACTCTTTCTCACCCTGTCGCATCGCCATCAGAGTGAGATACGTCTTCTCTTGTGCGACCGCACTTGAATATTGATTGGTAAGTTGTCCTGTAAAATCCTCAAAGTCTCTGATCGACCCGGGAGCCAGTTGGTGGAACCAGTCGAGCGCACCTCCTCGTAAGGTCGACAGGAACGCCCAGCAACTAACCGGGTCTGAGTATCTGTGCAAAATGGACATATTTTCAAATACCCTCACATGCCTCGACGGATGGTTCGACCCATCGAAGGTCAGATTTATCTCTCTGAAACTTGCGGGCAGCGGTGCAACCAGGATTTCCCTCGAGAACGGGTGTCCTCGAGCACGTCTGTCCGGCCTTCCCTCCACTTTCTCTTGCAGTTGCCGGAGCTGCTCAGCAATCCTCTCCATCGCCCTATCTCTGGGCTCTCCTCCTCCACCATAGCTCGACACATCTTCCTCTTGAGTTCCCGGCACCGTGGTCGGTGTGGTAGTAGCTTGGGATGTTTGGTGAGTGACCCGCTGCACAGCTTGCGTCGCCACGTTGGCCATCATCCGCTGCATCTCTTCCCTCGTCATAGTCACCATCTGTTGAGCAGGGGGTTGCGGTGCGCCTCCTTGTAATGTCCCGAGTTTTTATCAGTAATAATAATATTTTAGCTCCGATATTTTTTCGGGATTAATTATTTTCAGTTATTTCAGTCGAAATTACCGGAAAATATTTTTGTAATACCCTGTTTTATTGTGGATTATTCAGGAATAAATATCGATATCCGTTATTATTAAATTGTCCTTATTATTATTATTATTATTATTATATTATTATTATTATTATTATTGTTATTATTGGTATTATTTTAAATGTCTAATTGTATTAGGTGTTTAAATGCCTATTATTATTAAATAATATTATTGTGTGTATTATAGATATAATTATTCCGGTTTTATTTATTAAATCGAATCGAGCGAGAATTTTTATTACCGCATTGTATTCCTTTCAGTCCGATTAAATTGATTTCGACCCAATTTAAGTTAAATTCTAGCTTTGTGATTTATACCTAGGCCTTTATGCCATTTTATTTCTAGCCCAAATGATATTAGTAAGTTGGCCCAAATTGAGTAATGCCATAAGGCCCAATTTGTGCCACTTCTTCTTCTTCTTCGCGTCTGAGATATTCCGCTCCTTATTCCTCGCAATTGACCGAGCCTCTGCTCCCTCTTCTTCGCGAAGACCAGGCCCTCAACGACAGAAATTGTTGCGATCTTTGTGCAGTCGTTCGCACGAGTTGCGATTTTGCTGCAAAAATCTCTCCCTCTCGCTCAGTCTTAAAAACCCAGCCATAGCAGAGCAATTTCGAATTGAACGACCTACACGAAATTCAGCTCTCCCATACCCTATTCTCCAGTATTTAAGAAGCAATTGGCAAGAACCCTAATTTTTTTTTTTAACCGCGTACCTTCTGTGCGCATCAATCTCGGCGACCTCTCCATTGATACCAGCAATCTGAAGCTCTCTCGCCGGCGTCCTCTCCGTTCGCCGTCGTCGGGTAGAAGCAGTAACAAAGCATCGCTCCTGTGAACCGCNNNNAATATATGTGTAAAATGTAAGAGTATGAGAGATCGTGTCTAAAAATGAGGATTCTCGTCCCTATTTATAGGGACGAGCTACCTGTTCTACACGCGCGACTTGGGCGAGTTTGGCCAGCTGTCCTCCTGCTCGTCCGTACAACTGCGCGCCCCCACTATCCCTGATGTCAGAGAACGCGTCGAATCTGTCAGAGAATGTCAGAGTTCGTTATAGCCGTAGACCACTCATAAAGCGCCGCGTGTCTCCCTCTCACGTGCTGAAAGCTCTCTTATTTATTCCGATGTTCGACCGAATCTTCGACGAACATTGAGCTGCTCACCAGGTATGAGGTGGTCGATTCTACGACCACGCCCCCTTTGACCGTCTTTCCTCGACCATCTCCTCGAGCAGACGGTGCTTATCCAATACTATCGAGCCCGCTCTTCCTCGTCGTCTACCTTCTTTCCTTCATTACTGATGTTTGGTCCAGTTCGACCAGACCACTGATCTATTTTATCCGGTTAGCCCGACAAACCGGTCTAGTATATAATATCCCATATCACCGCCGGATAAATGATAATTATACGACATTTTTTCGCTCGCATATTGAAGAATCGCATAACCAAATCGAATAAAGCATAATTTATTTGCGCCATTTTTTCACATGGCCATATCGACATGGTAATTTTACGACTATTCGGAATTTATTTGCATATCTGTCGCATACGTTACGCACCTCATTAATTGACTGCTTTTTCACATGTGAGGATTTTTTCCCTGCATTTATCATGCAGGCAAAAAAAAAAAAACAGTGATCTCTAACAACTTAACGTCTGCACCATTCATCTACTGCATTTTTCTTTCGTGTTAATTCCTTTTGTTGTTCACTTATTTGAATGGATAACAACCGTGTGAGAGTATGCGTGAGCTTTGGTGGTACGTTTCCGGGGGTTCATATCTTGGTGGAGTGGCAGAGCTAATGAGAATAAATTACAGCCGACAAATGTATTCTGAAGTAGTTTCTCGTGTTCAAGCATTATTGAAGGCCGATCCTTGTAATTTTGAGTACATATTGTGGGCAGTATTTGATAGAAGAGAACGAGTTGTGAAGATGAAAATCAAATCCAGTGACGATATTGTAGAGCTGATTGAAAAACAAAGAAATCCCAACATTTACGTAGAGTTGGAGAAGCGAGTAAATGTAGGGATTACGGGGACGGCGCAACAAAGCTTGACGCAAATGATGGCGTCTCAAGGTGTATTTCCTAGTTCTTTTGGTGTTGGTAGTTCTGCATTTTCCCACGAGGCCCCATATTGACATCAAGCAGGCCCTAGTTCATTTACACATATTGGATATCCTCGGGGCGCTGATGATCAAACCCCAGGTTGTTCGAACCAACCAGATTATTCTCGTGATGATGACAGTAATGATGACCAAACCAACACGCACAATGATAATTCAGGAGAAGCAAATGTTCAAGCTTTTCAGGGCGTGGTATTGCGAGCATATTGAAGAGCTAAGATTAATTACCGACCATATTAAGGTTGAAAGTCTTGCATATATGAATCCAGGACCGGCCACGAATGTGGTCCCTTTCTATGCCGCCCACGACAACTGGATCAGATAGACAACTCATCCAATTACCCTCGAAAAATTTAGAATTATCTTTTGGGTCTATCTTTCTTTCGAAAGATGAGTTGATTTGTGCCATCCAACTGTATCACTTGCAACAAAAGGTTGAGTGTCGAACACCCAAATGCTGCACTTCTAGGTTACTATCTATTTGTCGGTATGATGGGTATTCTTACAAGTTATGTGCAAGGGCAAAACGAAATGTATGGAGAATCACTACTTTGAAACTCGAGCATACATGCGGAGGGAGTTTGACGTACAATCGACACCGTTCGGCTAATTCCAAGGTTCTCGCTCATATTTAAGAACCAACTATTCAAACAAATCCCCAGACGATATCTACACGGAGAATTATTGATCAAATGCAGGAGGAGCATGGTTTGTCAATTAGCTACAATGTGTCCCTCCAAGCAAGACACCGTGCTTTTGAAAAAAATTATGGGGGTCATGAAGAATCATGGGGGCGGCTTCCCGGTTACTTGCACATGTTGCGTGTTTGTAATCCAGGTACAATTGTCCAACTGCAACGAGATGGCGAGGTATTCAAAAACTTTTTCTTTGCTTTAGGAGCTAGCATTGAGGGCTTTCAACGAGCTGGTGTCCCGGTGATTGTGATACATGGGATGCACTTGAAGGGAACATACAAGGGCATTATGTTTGTTGCAACCACATTGGACGGGAATCACCAAATCTTTCCCCTCGCAATTGTCATTGGTGATCTAGAGTGTCGTAAGACTTGGAGTTGGTTTTTGACTCGATTGAAAATGGCCTATGGTTGTCCTGATAACCTCCTCATCGTATCGGATAGACATGGGTCTATCATAAATCCTGTCCCAATAGTGTTCCCCGAGGCGCATCATTCATTTTGCTATTATCACATCACAAAACAATGAGGCCTTCTGGAAAATCTATCTTGGACATATTTTACAAGGCGACATATTGTTATCGGCGTGAACATTTCTATCGTTACATATCATCCATCCAAAGCCTAAAACCCGAAGCATTTAAGAAGCTAACTAATGAAATTCTGGTAAATGCTTGGGCGAGGTGTTTTACACCTGTACGGCGCTATGGATTCATATCCTATTCTTGTGAAAGTTTGAACAACAAACTCCTATGGGCCAGGATGTTACCCGTTTGCTCGTTGTTGGAGTGTGTTCGGGCAACGATAGAGAAATGGTTTGTTGTTCGGCGTGCATACGCCGAGGGTATCATCCGCTAACGCAGTGGACGCAATTGCGGCTGAAACCTTTGTTCGAGAAAGTTCGTACTCTATCCATTACCACACTCGGCATGCAACGTTATAAGGTTATGGAAGAAACACGATCCTACGTAGTAGATTTAGAGTCAAGAACATGTAAATGTCGTGTGTTTGAAACAGATCTACTACCTTGCTTACATACATCTACGGCCATTCGGTAATGTTTACCAAACAACATTTTGTTTTTTTCTTTAAAAAAAATAAAAAATTAAAAATTAAAAAAAAATAAAAAATAAAAAAGTTATATTCTAATATGATGTGCAAATTTATGTTATGTAACAGGGAAGCTGGGTTAGATATAATGGATTTCGTTAATGACCATTACAAAACTTATTCGGTTGTAATGATGTACCAAAGCTCCATTAACCCCGTACCGCATCCAAATGAATGGCACTTGCCCCCGGAAATTATGCGCATAAAGGTAATTTCGCCATGATCCTAAACAAGCAGGTCGGCCACGGAGGAGAAGGATCATCACGTCGAGTACGACGTCAGCAGATGTGCTCTCGGTGTGGGGTCACCGGGCATAACAGGGCGAAGTGACCTCTATACGATGGTGTTAATGACCTTTTTTTTTCAAATGAAGAAGGTCAAAACGCACCAACTCCTCATCCAAGAACAACATCGAGACGCCCGAGGAGATGTCGTACTTGTAAAGAAACATGTCACAAATCCTGGCAGTAATAAATACCAAAGAGCCGATCTGAAGATGCTTGTTTTGCCCTCTTCCATTGGCGCGTAGACCGATTGTCACCTTGTACTGGGATCCGTCAGCGTCCACATATCGCACCTCGTGAGTCACCGTTGTCCTCTCCAACACAAGTTAGGCGGCATAGAGTTCGGTAGGAATGAGACTCCTGCATCTTCTGGACTTTTTTTGTTCATATTCAAACAAATCCAGAGTTTTGTTCATTGTGGCCTGTACCAACGCTCTGCAGGGCAGAAACCTAACACCTTTGAGGACGTTGTTGTAACTCTCTGACATAAATGTTGTCAGAGTGCCCCATCGACGTCTTATATCTCCGTACATGGTCCACTTTTCCAAAAGAATTTGGAAAGGGTAATTGTATGCTTCCGAGTTATATTCCTGGAGCTCCTGTCGACTATGCTCAAATTTGCAGCAAGGACACAGTGAACCCAACTTCTAGCACAAACCCCGGATTTTCTTACTCCGAAACCTTGAAACCACGTTGCTCCAGAGGTGTCGAAGGCATATCCGATGAAATGCATGGGGTTCGTGCCAAGCCTCCAGTAAATCAATGGCACTCAATATGCCGTTGTCCCTGGCGGAAAGAAGACATATCGATCTGTCGGAGACGACATGATGGCGCAGATGTGTTAGGAAAAAGGACCAGGTCGCTGTGATTTCTTCGTACACAATCGCATACGTGACTGGCAATAGACGTTTATTCACGGTATGTGCTATGGCAACAAGCAACTTCCCCTTGTATGAACCTGCTCAGTTGGACATATGTTTTTTTTTATCAGACACTATTGAAAATTAGAAAATAAAAAATTAATTTGCAATTTACAAGTAGCTTCCCCTTGTACAAACTATTTGTCCCATTTTTGTTACGTTTTTCGTTATTATTTTTTCCTTTCTTTTTCCCCTTGTTAGGTCTTTTTGTTCATTTCTAGTTCGTTTTGTGATTAGTTTCATGTTCTTCTTTATTTAGAGTCTTTTTGTGTTTTGTCGGTTATTTTCTTCGTTTTCTCCGTTTTTGTTTTCTTCTAGTGTTGTGCAGGTCAGGTGCCTCATTCGACTACAATCTGGAGGAGAGAAAATATTTGGCGAGCTTAATTCATAGAGGGATTCGTCAACGACTTCAAACGAGTCCTAGTCATAAAAGCGTGCAAATCGACCGATAGATAACCCAAAGCTCGTGCCATGTTGGTACCACGCCACGTTCTATACCTTCACGACAGCTCTCAAATCCCCGTGCCGCGCCACGTACTCCAGCTCCTCTCCTCCAAGCCGTAAGACGACCACCGCGCCACTGCACAAGACCCCACCTTCATGGCTGCAGCTTTCCACCACGACGAGAACTCTCTTCACGGCGCGATAGCTGCTACTCCTCCACGGTGTTGCACAAAGCCTCTCACGGCGAGCCACCACTCTTCTCCATGCCGCTGCAAGCAACCTCCTCACACCGTGAAGAACCCCTGCCGCTACGCCGTGATGAGACCTCCTCCCGCGCGGCACAACCGTGTCACGCTGCTACAAGTTCTCCTTCCACGCCGTTCCACCTGAACTGCCGCGCTGCGAGACCATTGCCACGCCGAGAAGCAGCTGCCTAGAAGTGCTTCCGTCACGGTACTCGCACCCAGCACGCTGTGAGTCCTCCAACACGCCACGGCAGTCGTCTCCTTCATGCCGCGGTGGACCGCAGCGCCGCGCCGCCCTTCTTCTATGGCGCCTGTTGTTTTTTCCCATCACGCCCCGAACTTCCCTCCGCGGCCGCGACCTCCTCCTTCACCGCGGCCGCGGCGACTAAAATCCTTCCAGCTTTCCCAGACTTCAGCTTTCAATTCTCGCGGCCTCGGGATGATTCGCGGCCGCGGAGCCGATACTCACCGCGACCCGCGGGCTTCTCCGCGGCCGCGAGGCGCGCGATTTTAGATTTTAAGAACCGATATCTTAATCATTTTTACGGGTTCGAATCTAGTTTTTTGGGAGACTCTCTCGTAAGTTTTGACGTTTTTCAAAGATTTGAACTCGATTTTTGTTATTGCTTTTGGATTAATCGTGTTTATCTGATTCGACATTCAATTTCCATTAATCGTAAGTTTTTTCTATACATCTAGTTCATGGATAGGTTCGCTTTGATTTTGATGATTGATGTTGATTGTTCGATTATGAGTAGCTAAATCGTTATGCTAGGGATAAGTGATTGATGTTTTGAATTCGTTTGCGATTATCATGTTCGTGATTGTTCAATTTGTACGAGTTGATCTTTTTCTAGGATTTTTCAATTGTCAGGCTTGAATATTGTGAATTGTTGAAGGGTGACACTTCAACGTCCAATTATTTTAATTGAATTCATTTAATTCGTGTATAATTTTGGAAATTCTATACGGCTAGTTGATTCACCACCTTCTAGTTTTCTTTAATCGACTCTTTGAACCGAAAGGGGATGAGTCGGTGGAAATAGGCTCGTATAAACTAGGCTTGTTTGTAATTGTATTGCATAGGCATTAAATGGCTTGTTAACTTGTCGTTTAAGTTTGTTCTCTTGTTACGAAGAGTTAGTGAGAATGAATACTTGAACGAACTGGTCATGCAAGTCACTTAACCGAACAATCTCTAGCTTGATAATTGTATTTTCGAACCAAAATGGATATCCCCGACTCCCTAGCTTCTCAAATCTTACTTGTTCTACGTGTTCACTTGCTATTTAAATTGCTTAATTTAAATTCTAGTAGTTGTTAATTTAAATCCAAACCAATCATCTTAATTAGGGTATTTAGGAATTTTATTTATTTTCTTTTTGTGTGTTATCAATATCGATGCTAAATTCTGAACCGCCTTCCTCGTGAGATCGACTCGGGGAACGAATCTTTCGATTCGGTACTCGGTAAAAATAACAATTTGTGCTACAACACGAACCTCGTAGGTGAGTGTCGTCGATGCTAATAATCTACGGGCAAAGATGGAAGGTTCGAATGGCGGGCCCGAACGCACAGAAGACAAATCTGAATTCTCTGTCTCGAGAATGACGAGCCATTCCCCCATTCTGCCATTCCCACTCAACGACTGTACCGGGATTCGCCCTTTGAAGGGCGACAAAAAACCTGCAAATTATAAAAAGGTAACCATAAATAAATAAATAAATAAATAAATATAGTTACAAGCAACACATAAATACATTTATAATTAATTTTTGCTTACTGTTGGAGTTGTGCGAAGTTTGATTCCCACGTGCCATACAAACGATCGGTGGTTTTTTTTCTCCCGTGCCACGCCTTCTTGTAGCTGACATCGACGCTCCAGGCGCTTTTTACGTCGGCCTGGACCATTTCCACACTGTAGGTCATCTGCTTCTGAATCTTAGCCAACAGAAGATTTGAGATCATGGTGGCGGTCACATTCTTGTGGTCATTTCTCTCGACCACCTGCATGCAAGTGTGGCTATCGGTCCATTCGGTTACCTCTCACTTGTCTTGATCCCATTTGTTAAGACTCACCCGAGCCTTCCATATACATGGTACAACTTCAGCTGATCTGCACACAACTTTGAACGACTTCTTGTTGGAATCTTTTGTCCGGACCGCCCTAAGATTCTCAACATTCCAGGCCAGAATACCAGTCTGGGCTTCTTCTTTGGTACGAAAACTGTACCCAAACGGATAGTCTCGACATGCCCATCCCAGAGTGGCAAGCGTCTATACACGACGAGTCCCACTCACCCATCTCGCGATATACGTGGAGGCCTTCATTTGGAAAAGGGTGTTCTTCAATGAATTCTTGTTTGCTCTTCTCATTAATTGATCTGTCCGATTCAGTTTTCGAGGTCTCATCAGTGAAATCGTCTTCACCGGGACTGAAATCTTCATCTCCAACAATTTCTTCCTCAATGTCCGGTCCTATCATGGTAAAGCTCGTCCCTTCGCTGAAATTACTCGTCTCTTCACCAAAATTACCGGCATGCGTAGTCCACGTACCCTCACCACCAAACACTCCCCCGTAACCATATGATGCCGTAGGATCCTCAACCTATGTAACCTGTGTGATTGCTTCCAACATTATATACAAGAACACATAGGACATAGGAGGAAAGTAAATCCACGAAAGAGCACAATCATTATTCAGTCTTCCGGGAATAAACGAACCATCCGGTTGTTTGGCCATGAAAGTAATATCCAGAATTGTCCAACTATCACGAAACCCACCATTTCGTAAATCATATCTACCAATTATTCATATGATATTATTCCATCAATAACAAATGAACAATCCAGACGAGACATATAATTCGAAAAATTTCATAACTCACTCTGGGGAATTTTCCAGTACACATTAACAAAGTATGGACGGTTAGACGCCATTTATAACCTGTTGCACAAAAAAAAAAAAAAATCTATTTTACAAATTACAATAACACATAATGGCTAATCAAACGCTCGAGAAAAATTCAATTATTATTCTACCAATCTAAATTAAAACTCATTTCCAACAACATATAATTAATCATATTTTTACTCCAAAAAAAAGAAAGTCAATTAATTTATCAAAAAACACCACCAAAACCCTAATCACCATAATCCAACAATAACATCAAATTCATAAACAATTCGGATAAATATTCAACATACAACAAAAAAACCCATCATACAATAGCAAATTATAATCATTTAACACAACTATTAAACCAACACTGAAGATTTCTAAACAATACTCAATTAACTAAATATATCTCTTAAACATTCATAAACAACAATAAAATGATATTATATTACATTAAAATAACAACTAACCTCTTCTCCGACGATTGGTTGATTTTTATTTTTTTTTTTTTGAATTGAGCTTCAATTCGCAGTAAATCGAACAAAAGAGAAAAAAAAATTGACTTCAGTTAATGAAGATAAGTTGTCTGTGGTTGGGGGAGGGTTTTGCAACTTTTTATATCAACCAAAAACGAATTTTTGAAATCCGTTTTTTTTTTAACTAAACATGGATTATGAAAATCCGTTTTATAAATTAAATTTATTTTTATTTTTAAATTCGACTGTTTTCTTTTAAAAAAAATAAAAATAATATTTTTTTATTAAAAACGAATTGTGAAAATCCATGTCATAAATTAGATTTATTATTCTTATTAAATTCGACCATTTTCTTTTTGAAAAAAAAAGTAAAAAATAAAAGCAAATTATGGAAATCCGTTTTTCTAATAGTAATTTTATTAGAAAAACGGATTACCAAAATCCATCCGTTTGGTTCATGTCCACAACATTTTTTTTTTATATTTTTTGCCACAAATTTTTTGTTTTTTTTGGCTTTTTTTTTTTTTTTTTTTTTAAATAAGCCACCCAAAAATTGGGCCAACTTCAATTAATTGGATCGCACCCCACACGTGAGACCCAAAAATCGGGAGTGTTACACAAATATAAAACATTAGCTCCACATTTACAACAAAATGATGGTCACAACTGCATACGTGCATGTCATTCACACAGCTCATGAAACATAAAAAACGCTGCTTCTCCTTCTATCAAAGTATTGATCTAACCAGCCTTGGATCAACTTGATTTCAGTGGCTCTCTGCTCAACCAGCCAATCAGGGTCGTCTGGCGTTGACGAGCGTAGATCTAAATGATGGGCACCTAAAAAATCAATCAGATTAATCGTTCTGTTACGAGTATAGAACACCAAACTGATGAGTCAGCTAACCTGCGGACCCTAACAAGAAGACATACAGTACATGGACGCACACATAAAATGATAAAATTGCAACATTGCGCATAAAATAGTTTGAGAATTACGGAAAGTCCAAACTATCTTTCATATTCCAAATTCTGTGTTGATGTTTGTATCTATTTCATCGATTACTCCCTGAGCAGGTACACTTGTTTATAAAATGCATATGTACAAAGAAATGTGTGCAGTAGCATGAGAGGTACTTGTAATTTTGAAAGGTAAATGAGTTTTCCTGTTAGGTTTGGTTACAAGACCAACTTTGAGGCTCAGCCTCATTACGAATATATTCTCTTATTATCGTGTAAGTACCTCTCCTAAGGGGTGCGCTTTTGTACGGAACCATGTGTCATGTTTATTTGCAGCTTCAGATTAATTGGGTTCTTAGTTTTCGTAAGTAGGCCACAATCGAAAGGGTAAGAACCGGCAACAAGAAAAAGGAACAAAAAGAAAATGACGAAGGAAGGCACCTTAAAAGTTTCATTCCAAACATTTGCATAACAAACTCGTATAGAAAAAAAACTAGTACTCAAATCCTTTTCAATTATATTGAGGTGAAAAATCCCAGCAGCAACTGAAAAGGAGGTTATAAAGCAATTAAGAGGTTATAAAGCAATTAAGATACCAAGATATGCTTTACTGAATGAGAATTTATGATTCAATCATAGTTTACCTTTTTCTGTCACAAGAGACACGATAGTTTCCGATATATCCTCCAACACACTGCACCAAACATCATTCAATTTTTTCAATTACAAAACAGTAGTTCATGCCATTATTTAAACGTAAAACATAAAACATGTTTATGATCTTACCTGCCGCCACTCCATGGGTCCAATAACCCATTTGAGAATATGATATTACTTCCGAAGGTTTGCAGGGCATCCTTAAATCCCTTTAAAATGTAAAAAGACGAGAAAAAAGGGAGTCAATACACCAACAAGGAACACCCTATAATCCTTATACAGGCTTAAAAAGAAGAAATCGAAGAACCTTTAGCCTACTAAGGTAGAAACCGGGCTTTACTTTTTTCTTTTAGTATTGCAAACATTCCCTTAAAGTCGGGCAAGAAGCAGATAAACACTCCAAACACCAAAAAACAAATGGTTTTCAATTCTAGTTTGATGAAGTCCAATTAGAGGCAGAAATTGGCGAGTGCAAACATAAATAATGAGATTTTCCTTTACCAAATTCTAGTTAGAATCGCCATTTCGTCATAGCTTGCGAACAGAATTTTCAGATTGGTTCTAATTGAAACCACTTTTCTATCAATATTAGTTTAGAGTTGTACCAAGCAATGAATTTATAAGCTCCTCTCTGTTAAAGACGAGAAGAGCTAGCTCAGTTGGTACACCCTTCACTTGGGACCAATAGGTTTCGAGTTCGAGTCACCCACGGGGTAAGTGGAGAACCACTATTGATCCTCTTTAAAAAAGGAAAAA